AACTTGTTACTTCGGAATTGGGTATCCTATATTTCTTAGACACCTGAGAGTACCTTTAAACGATTATGCAGCTGCATCGCGCGCCATCAGTCATGATGTTTCCGGTTTTTACAAGATTTATCCTGGTGTCTGTATCCTGTTCTGTTTAGATCACGTCTTGTCCATGGCTGGGACAAACATAGTGCAAGTATATACTGTCTTCAGGAAATCCTACAGTCGTTTTAGTACGAAGGCCCAATTCTCCTAAGGATGGCACTTGGCTCTGCCTTCGATATCTTTGCTCAAACTAGTAATTTCATGAGTTTTACACTCTGATAGTAGAGATAGTTCTCTCCTACACTATGGCAACGGTGCTCAAACGTTCAGAAGAATCTTCTTGCTGTAAAGTTCAAGGTCATTGGAGTTTAATGTGGGCGACCTACGCCGTATCAAAACATCGACGGTAGCTCTGTATGAATTCATTCGATTTAGTTGTTGAGTGTCCTGGAAATGTCTGAAAAATGTCCCTTTGGTGTCAGAAATTCCAGGATTTGCAGAGAATGTTAGCCATGAAGCGATTTATCAAGGGAAGAACTTGGTCTTGGAACTCCGAAGTTGAAGACAAGACATCCGGTAAGTATACCGTAAGTGAATGATTCCATAGTTGATGTTTAAGGTCGTCATTCCCACTTTGCAAGGTTCCCGTCATTTGTGGTAAATCTTCTCTTTATTAGAGGGATTTCATTCATATTTCTTCTGTTTCACAGTCATCTACATGCCTGGGATTCACACCAAGGGCTGTAAACAGGGCTGAGTCAATTGATAGTTGGTCTGTTGTTGGTCTATTCATGAATAGGGCAACCTTCTCTCAACCTCTTCCCGCTTCGAATTTGATTTGGTTCCTTCCAGTTTAAGGAAAACATGTCAAAATAGAAATTCAGGGTGTGTATGTACAGTTAAGGACGGATGATGTAGTAAGAGTATATCTACGGTGGACATAGTCTTTGCATCGGTCCCACGTCCCGTTTATGCGCTCTACCTCTCCGAAGCTTTCAGATTGGTAGCAGACTTTTTGGAAGGATAAAAGAAAATGTTAAATTGATACATTGGCAAGCAACTTCAGGTTATTGTACAGGCGAAATATGCATTCAGTGTTCTCTACGATGCTTGTTGAAATCAAATACGCGGTGCTGCCTGATGAGATGGATCAGCTTTGGATGTTTTATCTGTTATCCTTCAATAGAACTGTTTGAAACTTTGTCACAACTTGTCCAAGCTGTGAAGAAGAAGATGATGTCAACCAAACATTAGCCATTGGAAACCAGAACTACGACGTTCACTAAGCCGTGTCAGATCATGACGGGCATTACCAAGAGGCTGCGAAGAACCGGCTTCGGCCTTTTGCCCCCTTTACAAATACGAGGCATGTGATTGCGGTAGGACAAAAATTGCCCGTAGTTGCCTCTGTTACCCTTCTATTTGCCGAAAACTATTAATGAGAAGGAGAATCATCCATGGCACACATTGTTAGAGGTCACATTCCACGGTCTCGTAATTGTAATGTTGTTACTGCTCGTCATCGATAGCTTTTAAATCCATTGTCATTGATTAAAGAAATTAACGAAGAAAAGTGTAGATGTGTTCAGTGGTTGTAGCACTATATGAGCTACGTCATGGCATTAATTGGTATGTTTCTGCCACTTTTTAGGGAAAAGGAAGTAAATGGAAGCTTGTAAAAAAGTAGAAGAGCTAAAGTATTTCATGAACGGGACGTAAGCCAAGGTCAAACGATTTTTTTCTGCTATTCCTTTCTTCTCATTGTGAAACGCAGAAAAGAATCTGAAGATTTGTCACTATCAATCATGCTCAGGATGCGACCACTCGTAATTCTGCCAAAAAATTGGGTGAAAGAAGCGCGCCGAGTGGGCCATTTCGTATTCAGAAAGCCTAGTTGTCAGTTTATATATGTGACCTGTAAAAAGATAAAGGATAAAGCTGTCTGCGTCGATCTATTTCTGAGGGTTGCGCCGAGCATTCGACTTCATTAATCATCGTTGGAGGTGATTGTGTGCATATCTGTACTTTCAATGGCTCGCGGTGGCCTGCCGATGTATCGAGTCAGTGCTGCTATCCTACCAGAAAGTTTGGTACCAATTTGCCGACCGTGGAGAGATGGAAGGCTTGGTGAGTCTTGGCAGAGGGGATCGATCCTATGTGTATTGCAGAGCGCCTCTGACCACTACGCTACACGCGCTCTGTACGTGACTTATCATTTATAACTTGGTTCATGTTTATCTTCTCATTTTCGATTTGTGTGAGGTACGAAAAATTGGCTAAAGTCTGCATTTCTTTGGTGAGGAGGTTTTTTCTTTGTTTTTTGTTTGGACCTACACGCTGAGCTGGATTTTATCAACTCTGTAAGTTGAAGATTCGTCGTTGTGTTCAAATCTCCAAATATTCTAGTTTAAGTAGAGTTCTTTTCTCATTTCCACATTCTTTAGAAAGTATGCTAAATGTTATCGTTTAGTACGCAGACGTTTTGTTTTAAATGCAGTTTGATGGCTTTGATTTACTTTTTTATATCGTTTGATTTATCAAGTTTTTGTTTTGCTCATTTTTATTTTAGTGTTTTCTTCTCAATTTATCTTCACTGTATTGTACTGGTACAAAATTTGACAAGAAAAGCAGATTTGATGAATTACGTATTACAAAATCGAGTGGATATTACTTTACTTACTTTCATACCTTCATGGCTCGTTCCGAGCCCCAGCATAATCTCCGTTTTTTCGGAGTTTTGCTGACCTAGCCATTGTGGTTCTCTGGACTCCCGAGCTCAGCCAGGCCAAAATCTGCCCCAGATCGTCATCATCACAGGGAGTCGCCGCCCTTGTGGATCAGAGGGAGATTTGCCACCATGCGACTAGTTTGGTATTAGGACGGTAACGGACCTGTTATTGGTTTACTCTTTGCTGGGCTTCTTGACGGAAACGTCGGACTCAGCCTGAGGACACTGCTAGGGGATAAATTCCCCGCTCTATATCGCAGCCCGACACCCAGGATCACCTACCAACCACGATGATGCGGTAATCCGTTGGGAGGCGAGTGGATATTATTCTTGGATATTTTATTTCCATTGTATTTTTGGTTTTCACTTCTGCAGATACCACTCATAATAAAGTTTAAGCGTAAAACGTGACCGTTGATGATTTCCCGAGGGATGAACTATGTATCGTACGGGTGATTGAATGCACGTTTGGCATAGGCACTGATTAGCGTGTGTCAAATCAGTGTTTTTATCTATCGAGACTGGTCTGATCTTATTCAGTGACCCTTAAGAGGAGTCGGGATGGAACCAGAGACCATATGCGTGTATTGCAGAGAACCCTCTAACTACTGTGCTCGAGACGTCTTTCACTGAATGAAAAACTTCCTAAAAACTAATGAGCTCATGCACTCTTTCTGTATCGTACGGGAATAGTTTTATTATACTTGCTTGGATGCTTGGATGGCTCATCTTCACTGGTTGTGCGGGCCCCAGCATAATTTTCATTGTTTCGGAGTTTTGCTGGTTTAGCCATTGTGGTTCCCTGGAGTTCCGATGTCAGTCGGACTAAACTCTGCCGGAGGTCGTCTCCACCACGTGCAGTTGTAGCCATTGTGGATCAGGGAGATTTTCCACCGTGCGACTATTTTGGAACCAGGACGGTGACCGATCCTGGTACTGTTTTTTTCTTATCTGGGCTCCCTGATGGAAACGCCGGTCTCAGTCTCAGTTTGGGAGACACTGCGGTGGGACCAATACTCCCACCGTACATAGCAGCTCAACACCCAAGAACACCTTGCCACCATGAGGCGGTAAACCGTTGGGAGGAGTTTTATTATAGTTGAAACAAAATTTCTGCTTTGTATCAGTGTTCATTTTCTTTTTGTACTATCATTGCCGTGACGAGTAGTAGCATGTGTATTGCGTATTTGCAGCTTAGTTTTTCTTCTTTAGTTTGATCGAATATGAATGTCTTTGTTTATTCATCCACACTACTGTTCCACGATCTCTCACTCATATTTGCGAAATCGTCATCCACATTCGACACTCAGCGGCCAAGATGCATTGAATGCTATGCATTGTATGTGTGGTGGCAAATTCTAGCTTTAAGCCACAATATCTCAACCTATATTAGATGTTATCATTTGTTATAAATTTCATTAGGATCTAGAGACTTTTGTCTGGATTATAAAGGCGTTCTCATCCTATAAAAATGGGGTTATGGTTTTCTAGAGTCGATCAGAGTCCTATAATTTTTCCTCTGTGGTTGCTTCGAGGCCCATATTTCGAACACGGAATGAACTGAAGAAATGGTATTCCGTCCAACAGGAAGTGATAGTGTTTGCCAATGTATCTGTTATGTTTTGCAAATACTGCATTTGCTTTGGAGACTTTAAAAATTGGAATTCTGTATTCGAGAGAGTTTCTGAGTTTTTTTAGAAAGTCGGTCTTTCGAGTTTCCGAGTTTTATTTCTAAATATGTTTAGAATCAAAATAATATTATATAGAAGTTATACATATGATTGAATGGCAGAGTAAAGTCTCTTCTATAATATTGCGTAGTTCCCAACTCTTCAAATACTCCTTTATTTGAGAAATCATCATAAATTGTCAAAAAATAGTTTTAGGCTTAGGGACTTAAGCACTTCCAGTAACCACACTTATTACTCTTTCTTCAAACATTTAACTGCCCGAGTTGATAGTTCGCTTATTGCTTTCGTTATGGTTCACAGTGTTATTGAGAACTTTGTCATCATTTTATGTGGAACTATCGTTCTATGGAGTTCGTTTGACTTTCATAATATTTATTCTGTTTTCCAAAAACTATCTGCATTCGTTAACAGTTTCGTGCGCCATCATCGTTGGGATACTAGCAGAGCGGATGCTGTTCGTCGTCTTCGCCTGCCTTGGAATTTTCAGCATTTTCGCAGCTGGTTAGTAGTTTATTCAGAGTCATAGATAATTTTGTAGTTGTCTTGGTGTCATTCTCAGCGGCAATCTTCGTTTTTTTGTTGTTGATTTTTTATTAGTTTAAACTTACCTGCGGGTAGCAGTTAGTTGGCTGTTTTTTTCTCATTTTGATTCATTACTGCAGTTCTTTTTTATACTTTTTTTGTGTGCAATTAGGCTTTTGCATTATTTTTCTCACATTGATTGTAGGCTAATTAATATTCAAATTAAGGTCTAGACCAGCAAGTAAAGTCTCCGGTTGACAAAGCAGAGTTACATCAACAAGGGTAAGTGCGTTAGCTAATACTATCACATAGAAAGCTTTCCATCCCTCCGGGCTCGGCAAATTGGTACCAGATCGATCTGGAAGGATAGCACCACTGACTCTTTACATCGGTAGGCCATCGCGAGTGATTGTAAAGGCCAAATATGTATTCAGTCATCTCCAAACGTTGCTTAATGAAGTTGAGTACATGGCGCATCCGTCAGGGATTGATCTACGCCGAGAGCTTTATCTTTTCTACTTCTTGATTGTTATTTAAAACTGTTCAGTTGCTCTAAACTGCATATCACAATTTAATCAGATTTGAGCCAATACTCATTGTTTGTTTTTATTCAAAGAGGTGACTTAGGCGTTCTAGGTGACCTGTATAGAACCTTTTGCGCCATCTATTCATTCAAGTCGATGTTACACAGTTCCAAGGAAGAATACTCCATTCTTGAAATCCTTACTATTTAGTGAAACTAACTCTGCTGCCGCTAACGATGAAAGGTTGATGAGCTTTGACGCATGTAAGGACGATATTCATCGTCTTTGTGTCAAGGTAAGTATGATTTTCGAGCTTTTTGATGAAACTATAGTGAAATTGCTCTTTTAAGTTCAATTCAGCGCTTATCTCTTTAGGAAGGTGTCGATCTAAAGAATGATTTGTCAATCATTGAATGTCTTCAAGATGCAGGGCAAACTGAATCTGCAACCCTTGCCAGGCAATGTGAGGATCTTGTTTGGCAATTCAAGGTCAGATTTTTTTTGTTTGACTACGTCCTCTAGTGATTTACTAAAGTAAGGAGTTTCTGTATTTTTTTATACGGAGAAAGACGATTCTCGCTAATGAGTGGTGACATTTTGATCACTGAATTTTTGCTTTGACAAACGGAACAATTCGAAGGGAAATTTATTCTTCGTTCTTATTTTATCCGTATTTCAGCTAAAACTTACTCAAGATGAGCGATTTACTAATGCTGCAAAGGAGTACTGCAAAGAAGAGATGGCAAAAATCCCAGGTATAATTTGATAACAGTTTCCAGTTTTGTCTGATTGATATTTCTTTATCGTCGCTCGATGTCTATCGAAAGAATTTGTGAATTTCTACTGCAAGATATATTGAAGTGGTTATGTCTTTTGTGGAGAAGGTCGTACTTATTACCGTTTCAGCAATGGCAAAATGTGCTGAACTAACGCAACCTGGGTATGCGATTAGTTGTTTGTTTGATTTCATCCCGAACGTTACAACCACATCACAGTGCCATGCTTTCTTGCGTGAGTTTCTACAGTTTACTTTCTATACGAAATATAAAGAAGAATTAGCTATAACGTGACACGCTTGCAGTTTGGCTAGATAGAATACATCCTTCACATATATTTACTTATATTTCCTTATGAATTGATAGGAGCACGTGTGGCGCAGTTGTCGGAAGCACCATGCAACACACACGTGGAATCGATCCCCGCGCCCATGGCCCACCAAACCTTTCATCCCTCTGGGGTCGGCAAATTGGTACCGGAGTTGTCTGGGAGGATAACAGCACTGGCTCGATACATCGGCAGGCCTCCTCGAGTCATCGTAAAGGCCAGATATGTATCCATTCACCTCCAAAGATGCTTAATGAAGCCGAATGCATGGCGCCTCTCTCAGAGATTGATCAACGCCGTGAGCTTTTAGAGCTTTTATCTTACTGGTACTGATCTTGGTGAGGTGATGTAAGGTTGGTACAGATTGTCGTTGTCGTTTTGTTGTTGTTGGTTCCACTCGTAGGAGCACGGCTCTGAGGATGGCGAAATCGCCGGAACGTCAGCTAGCGACAAACAACAACAACAACAACGACAACAACAGCGACAGCCTATACCAACCTCGCATCAGCTCATCAAGATCGGTTCATAAAAGCATGTAAATAAATATGTCGATTATTTATGCCGACTTTTGTAAAAAGTCGGTTTTTTGATTTATTCTTCACATATGTAGCTCCTATTCAATGAATTCATTTTAATGTTCATTGTTTTAAACGTTTTTCATACTTGCTTCATTTACTATCTTGTAGATTTTAGAAAGTGGTTATGTAAGTAGTCGAAGTGGTGGTTACATTAGTTCAATGATTTCTACTTGTTATAGAACGCACTGAGAGATTGGCTTTTTCGGATTTTCGCCTTATTGGTCCCTTTGTTGACAAATGTGGACCTACGTTGAGCAAGCTGGGATGTGAAACGTTAACACCATACAACGCCCATAAAGGAGTGAGAGTTCCTCATACACAAGGTAGCGTTGTGGGAATGAGCTGGCACTGGTCTTCTGAGCGCTATCTGATTTCTTGTATGTCACAAAATCTCATGCCTAGAAAAAAGTGCTGTCAACTTGCTCATCACAGTTAGTGGTGTAGAAGCTATGTTGTTAATTTAAGTAGTCATTATTAGACAAAGTTTTGATAATAAGTGTGTTTTAAGTTCTCGAATGTTCGTTTCTCCTTTGTTTAGTGATTAGTTTCTGACTGGGTAGTCAATTCATTCTTTTATATAGCGTGACTTATAACCGGTGTTATGAGTCTATGATAGTTCGAACTGTTCGATTAACAAACTACCGTTAACCTTTTTACAGGGATGGCTTTAGAATGTTTGATCAGCAAAGTAGTCAAACAGTCGAAAGAACTCGCTGATCCACTTCATTTGCTTGATGCGGCGTGTAGACATGAGGTTTCTCCACAACATTTTTTCTTATTTGCTTCTGATTAAAAGCTGATTAAAAGCTGATGATTAAAGATTTTTTCAAAAATAGCAACCAGCTCTCTTTCATTGACTCAACGAAGATTACAATACTGATTTAGCCTCTAGAAAAAAGGTGCTGTTTTGAGCAGTACCAGCGTTGAGAAAGCTTTTTGTGCCAAAGTTCCTTCACGGCATTTGTCCTGATTATCACGAATTGTTCCCTAATTTGGTCAAAAGATCTTTTCCACCGCATCTTTACGGGTTTCTAAATGTTTTTATTGATTTTCCACTGTTTAAAGTCGCCTTAGTAAAAATTGGCTATGCCCGTACACTTTACACTCACACTTTTTTACCGAAAGATTTTATTTCCTTCAGGTGATGCGACTTGCTGAAATGCAAACTGATGATTTTCATTTGGACAGACCGATGTTCTTCGCATGTAGAGAGGATAGAGAGGTAGTATACTTTTACTTATATTTTGTGAGAAATTACATTTGTGGTCCGAAAAGGCTTGCCAATTATGGTGGTATTTCTCGTTGTTTACATTTGAATCTACTAATTTAGATTTCATTTTTGAGAATCAGTTGAAATTTCATGATTATGCAGTGTATTATGCGTATCTAATACATACTCCGTGTAAGGCGTGCAGCGTAGTGGTCGGAAGCGCCCTGCAATACACATCAGATCGATATTGCTACCAAACATGTCTGGGAGGGTAGCAGCACTAGCTCGATACATCGATAGGCCACTGCGAGTCATTGTAAAGGCCAGATATGCATTTAATCAGATCCAGTGATGCTTAATGAAGTCGAATGCTTTGCGCATTACTTAGGAGGGATTGATCAATGCCGAGAATTTTATTGTTTCTTTATTTTTATTTTTATTTTTACCTTTATTTTTAATATATTCGGTGCAATCATAAACACAGATCAACAGATAGGTACGGGCTTGATTAAACGTACTAAACTTTCGTTTTTAGTTATTAATTTTTCCTCGTTTACTACCTCTGTAACTCAGTGTTCAAGTAAAAAATATGATTCACGTAAACTGTTCGAAATGCTCTGTTTTGACTTTGACACAGTCGTTTAGTCTCGCTTTCGCAGTTTTTCTCTTCATTAAGTTTCTAACACAAGAATCACCATTGGAAGGTCTGGGAAAAAATTACAGCTAATTTACTTCCGAAATTTTAAGGGTTCTATGGTTGTATCCCAGAGAAATGGACTCAGAATTAATCGGTGTTCACGTTCCATAAGCAACTGACCAGTTCTCTTATAACAGTTTTCTATTTTCTTCTTTTTTTTATTTTAGAAATCCTTATTTGGGAACCTTATCTTGGTAGACACGGAGTAGAGGCTTGCTTATTTACAGTCACTTTTCCGTAGATTATTGTTATGAAACTTCCATTTTGTTGCAAATTTTCTGCTTTGGGAGCAGTTAGCTGATGGTCATTTTGAAAAATGTGTGCAAATTGGGGTGCATAATAATTACATAACGTCGATATACCGTCACCACGAAGGTGTCATTTCTGTTGATTCCATTCCGGATAATTTCAAGGGTTCGTTCGGTGCTCATCGTGAGCGTACAACCGGATTTTCTCGGTACTCGTTGAAGCTCTAAGTTTCCTAAAGAGACTGCGGGAATTTGTCCGATCTTCCCGAGAAGCATAATAGATTGATGGTTTTGAATTATTTTCATTTATTCTAAGGACAAAAAAATTCTCAAAAATATTTGAAAGTCAGGAATAAAAAAAAGGATAGAGCTGTTTGCGTTGATCTATCCTTGAGTGATACGTCGCACATTCGACTCCATTATGTATCGTTGGAGTTGATTGAATGCATATTTGGCCTTTACAATGAGACGCGGTGGCATACCGATGTATCGAGCCAGTGCTGCTATCCTTGTAGAGAAGGCTAGTATCAATTTGTCGACTTCGGAGAGATGGAGGGCTTGGCGGGTTTGGCGCGTGGGACCGATCCCATGTGTATTCCAGGTGCCTCCGACCACTGCGTTACACGTGCTCTCATCAGTCAAGAATAAGATGGAATAATTGACAATGCGCACAGGGGAATTGGGATGTGCACAAATGAAACGCCTATACTTTGTAGGGTATGTCTATTAAATTTTGATAACTGGAATGTGTACTGTCTCAGTAACTGTTTACTCATGCTGTTTTAAAAGTGTGTAGATTTTTGTTCGAAATAGAGTAAGGATTTCCAACGAATTTGAGCCACGTTATGCTTTCAGCGTTTCTGCAAAGATGTTCCATCCGGTCAAGGCAAGATATTTGAATGTCTTATGATGAATAGAAACAATCAATTTATGCGGCCTGAGGTATTTCTGTAGGAGACTCTTGACATTATTCTTCAAACGATTGCTAACTTTCTACTATCTGTACAAAGATCTAGTTGTTTTAGTGCGCGAACATTCTGGCTGAGCGCGCATACATGATGGGACGTGATTATCGCATGGCACATCCACTTGTGAAAGCATGCGAGAGGGAAATGCAGGAGTAAGTGGCTAGAAATATCCTTCAATCGCTCATAAATTGAATGAGACTTTCTTGATACAGGTGTGCATCGTCGTTGAATTTTATTAACTTATGTAGTAGTCTGATCTACTGGGGGTTTCCGGATGTTGATCGGAATACGAGGACCATTTTCTTTAACAGTGAACTTCTAATAACTTTTCATTATCTGTATGAGTTCCTTTCGGGAGAAAAACATGTTAAGGACTATGTAGAAAGGCTTATTTGATTATGCTGTCTATCGGGTTACGTTGTGATGTTGTGCTATCACCTCCCAACGGTTTACCGCCTTATCGTATTTGGAAGGTGTTCCTGGGTGTCGAGCTGCGATGTACAGTGGGGGGTACTCATCCCCCGGCAGGGTGTCCCAAGCCAAGGAGTCCGACGTTTCAACCAGAAGGCGCAACTACGAATAAACCAATACCAGGATTTACCACCGTTCTGGTAGCAAACCAGTCGCATGGTGGCAAATCTCCCTTTGATCTGCAAGAGCTGCGACTGTCTGTGGTGGTGACGACCTCGGGCGGACTTTGGCCAGGTCTACCTAGGGACTCCAGGTAAACACAATGGCTAAACCAGCAAAACTCCGAAAAATGGAAAATATGCTGAGGTCAGCACAGCCACCCAGGGCGGGCCGTCCAAGTATACAAGTAAGTTGTTCTATCCTACTTGCAACGTACAGAGGGCACCTTCTCTATATTTTCTTGCATGTACTTGAGCTATCACAGGACCTGTGGACATTGAGGGGTTGTAAACCGTCACTTGATTTACGCTTTCTTGCATTTTGACGGTTTTCTGCAGCAATTTCTTTGTAAGCTTTTTGACAATTTCGTAAACAATACTAGTTTTGTCTTTAAGTTACAAATGTCGGCCTCAAAGTCAACTTGAAGCAGCTGCGGATTTCCACCTCGCTTGGATTCTGTTGTGTTTGGAAAATACAGCTTATAATGCTAAGGTACTTTAGCATTTCTCTTTAAAATTTGCACTTTCTTGCTTCACTTCCTGCATATTTATTCATCAGTACTTCTTCGGAGATTTCGTTGTTCAGAATACGAATCCACCTTCAATGTCATGCCAGCATGAAATGGTGAAACACCGTCAGATGATGCTGACAGAATTCCGCATGTCTCCTGAGTTAGTGATGCGCTGTTCGACTGTAAGTGATAAAAACATCTTCGTGTTGTACGGGGTGCTTTTTTCTCTTATCCTTTCGTAAGATTTCAGTGTCTGTTGTTTCTCACATAGCGCCTTGCCGTGAGAAATTGTAGTAGGCAGCAACTGAAAATTTAACATTGTGATTTCAACTACAGCCTTAGCTATACCGGGTTCAGTGCCGATTTGAGCTTCCCGGATCAATCCCTTTGACAGGTGATTACGGATGGCACTGGTAGATAGAAAAATAGCTGAGTGATAAGCCAAACGAAGGACCCACATTGTGTGGTCGTGAACGCGTTAGCCTCTGGAAAGGGTAATATCGTGTTCGTTCCCCACCGCAGACACCTGAGGTCCGGAGTTTTGCAAATATCTCAGCATCATTATGGTTGTATTTCCGTGTCTTCTTTTTTGGTTTCCTGAATATTAGCAGGAATGCATGTTCTGTTATTGAGTATATCTGCTGGATTGCAATTGCATCTGTATTAGCTAACGTCAAGTTACTCGTTTTGTATACTTGATGGAACTAAAAGGACGTTTTGAAAGGAAAACCAATGAACATTGACGGACTCGCATTACAGGTGGTTTCGTAGATTTCATTTTTGTTTCCACATTTTTTTCCAGGAAATTGACAGGTGGTGTAGTCCCAAAGGAGACATAGAAGCGGAAGGACGTACACTACATTGTTTGATGGAACATGCTTCGGTGAGTACCCATTTGAAAATATAACATTGGGGTTTAATTTAACTTGTATTTTTCTGTGTTTCCACTCGCTTCAATTGCTGTTTAATGTTGACAGGCTACTGACAAGAATTTACAACTTGGGCCTCAGTGTATGCAAGCAGTCAAGGAAGTGATTAAAGTGAGCCTGTTGAGATCTCAGTTTTGTTTCGTTCTTCAGAACCCGTTTTACAAATAAATTCTGTTTATAGGTTGCTGATATCGGCTCAAACTACAAAGTGGACAAGGTTTTGTACGGATCATGTAGAACATTAATTGATGGTTTGTTCGATTTATAATGGTTGTTTTAAGAGAAAGTAAGGTACTTGGATACTTATTTATTTGGATGGTCCATCTTTATGAGCTGTGCGGAGCCCATTTATTCCCTTCTCTCGCAATCGTAGCCCATGGTGGTGGTCTTGTTCGAGCATGGTAGCACGTGCGAGTCTCATACTGTGTTCTGTAAAACAGCTGCAGCTGCGGGTACAGCTGATTAACTTCATTTACGAACACGTCCGCCCAACGTGCAGGTGGTCGTCCTAGGAGACGTTTGCGTTTTCTTGGAGTCCACTCTACTGTGCTTTTCGTCCATCCATCCTCTATTCTTTTCATTATGTAACCGGTCCATCTATGTTTCGCTATCGATGTATATTCTCCTGGATCTCGAAGATGTGACAGATTTCGAAGGTCAGAGCTTCGCATTTCGGCTAGATATTGAGAGTGCCGGTTATGTTTCAGAAGACATCGCTCAAGCGCTCTGTGAGTAGTTCGAAGCATTCTTGACGTAGTTGAAGTATCAACCCACGTCTGTGCAGCATAACAGAGCGCAGGGAGAACCGTAGAATCAAAGAGATGAGCGCGGATTTTCGGGTCCTTCAGATGGTCGGTGGCTTATTTGAGAGGCCTGAATGCAGCCCAAGCTGCTCTGCTTCTTTTATCCAGTTCCTCCTTCATGTTGTTTTCCATGTTCATTGATCGCTCAGGGTAAACGTGCGAGGTGGTCTCTGCAATGATAGAGCCATCCAATTCAATTCTTTCGCGATTTATGCGAAGTGCGATCTTTTTCCCCGCTTCCTTGAGCTCGTTGATCATCAATCCTGCTTGGCTAGTACTTCTTGAGAAGACGACAATGTCGTCGGCAAAACGAAGGTTTGATAGGAATTTTCCATCAATACGTATGCCTGTCTCATCCCAATCGAGTGACATTATCCACCGCAGTGCGGCACTGAACAACTTTGGCGATATTGTGTCGCCCTGTCGAACCCCTTTTCCTTTGGGTATTGTAAGAGGTCCATGTAAAAGCTGTATTTTCGTAGTGCAGTTCCGATAACAGTCGGACCGAGTTCTTATGTAGGACGGGTCCACTCCTTGGTCGACTATAAGATTGCACTGATTGGTCGCTGATAAGACTGCATTCGTTTTGTCACTGTCAAACGCTTCATAATCGTCAAAGGTTAGGACTAGAGGCAAGTGGTATTCCCGACAAACTTCGATTACCCTGGAGACGGTTTGGTTGTGGTCCATTCTGCGAAATCCTTTTCAAAATCCTGCTTGCTCGTCTGGTTGCGCTTCATCCAATGTCCTTGATATGCGCGAGAGGATAATCTTCTTGAAGAACTTGTACAGTACACTCAACAAGCGTATGGGACGATACTTACGAAAATCCCTTCGGTCTCCTTTCTTGGGCAGGATGAGCGTGCGCGACGTCCTAAACTGGTCTGGGATTTTTTCCTTTTGATGGTAGGCTGTCATGTGATCTACGAAAAGTACGTGTAAATCGTCGCTTCCAGCTCTAAGGGAGTCGGCGGTAATATTATCGGGTCCGGGAACTGTGCCTCTTTTCATGCTTTCTATAGCAACTCGAAGCTCCGATGGAAGAATTCCAGGTGGTTTTTCTCCAACGGAGATATTAGGGTCTGGGGCGGGGATTGTGGAACAGAAAAAGTTGGTGTAGAACGTTTCCGCTATTGATTCCATATCAAAGCGGGAAGTTTTGACGATCACATTTTCGTTCATCAGGGCTGACATCGGAACATTATAGTCACACAGTTCTCGACGGAATTTTTTCAGACTGCTTCTTTTCTCTGCTGCTTCCAGTTGTTCCTTCTGCTTGTACCGATGTAAATCTTCCTACAGAGCTCTTCTGCAGCTGGCATTTATTCTTAGCCATGTTAAACGTGTTGCAGTAGAATCAAGCTTCAGTTTCTTCGCTTTTCGAGCAATTCCTTAGTAGTAATGGAAAGTAAGGTAACAAGGGAAAAACGAGAAGTTGTTCGTTGCGATTGAAAGGCTTTTTATTTCATTTTTATTCGTAACCTTCAACTGTCCCACAAAAGCTTCAAAATTTCAACTGATAAATTTTCAGGAGTTTGTGCTCGCGACGCTAGCTCGGAGGCAGCGACGTTGACATGTTTAATGAGGCATGTAGATAGTTCAGACATGAATCCGGTATGCGAGAAGCGACTGCTCGAAGTGCAATATTTCATGGCTAGAGATTGGTCACTGGATCCACAACTTTACATGGCTTGCCACGATGAGGCTGTGAGGAGGTAAGAAAATCAAGTAGTAATTGATTTATGGGAACATTATAGTGGTTCTTTTTTCGTTCATGTATATATACATATATATATATATATTTGTTCATATGTATATGTATATACTAGGAAGCGGACCACGTTTACGAGTCTTAAGGACCGTAGTACATTTTCCATCCTTTCCTTTGCCTCACAACTGTCGAGTATGAATATGTCTCTGGTTTGATTTGAGCGTGGTGACGTTTGCGAGGCTCATGCCGTCATCTCTGCTGCATTGGCGGCTGGGAATGCGTCTAATTTGTTTTACTTACAAACTCGTTTACCCAACGTGATTTGGTTCTCCGAGGAGATGCTTCCATCCCCATGGAATCAGTCGACTCTACGATTCTTTTCGTCCATCTGTTATCCGTTCATCTCACCATGTAACCCGTCGATCTTTGTTTCGCCATCGACTTATATTCTCTTGGTTCTTGACGAGATGAACGTTTGTAATATGTAGAATATTCAAAATTTCAGGTGTCATGCGAACGAAAATTGGCATATTCGAAATAATGCCGGTCCCGTTGGACCTGATCCAGGGCCAGCTGTGCTTGCTTGTCTCTACAGATCTGCCTATGATGAAACTGAACCAGTGAGTTTTATGAATGTGGCTTTCGAGTTTTTATTTCATAAGGACTTCCGTTCGTATATGTGAGTGGAAATTCATACGTAGTTCCGGTTTGATGCATATGCTTTTCTCTGGCATCTATTTTACCTATTTTAACTTTTTAGATGAGAAAGAAAATGTCAACTTAGGTAACCGGGGGTTTTTTTTTACAAAAGCATTCATTTTAATATCTGTTTTCTTTTCTTAGAAACTCGTTCCATATTCACTCTTGGTCGCATCAACGTCTCCAGCTTTCTATTTTTGGTCCAGATGTACTTTCATGAAAGAAATAGAAACAAACAACGGTTTTTCGCCATATTTGGTACTTTTTTATTCAGCTTTCGAAGAAGTGTGGCACTGAAGTGAGACGAGTGCTACACACACGTGCTGTTCGTGTAAACCTTATTCCGGACATCGAAGATGCGTGTCGTGACGCCCTGTCTGAGTACTGCTCGCGTAATGTACTGCCCATGGAGGTGATTCCAATTGACTAACGATGTTTTCGATATTATATTACGATATTACGATATTATATCTCAAGCATATCAACGGTTTTGTCGCACTGTTTGATGTTTTCAAAGGACTCAGATACCACAACCGATCTAATCTTTAGGAGATGAACTGCTTGCAAGAGAACTTCGAAAAGAAAGAATTCATGAGAAAGCATCAGCTTTGTTATAAGGAGATCGTACGTTTCACAGAAATGGAAGCGAAGGACACGAAGCTAAACAGAGCTCTCACAAAAGCTTGTCGTCCCGTAATAGTTGCTCACTGTGAGGTCAGCTTTCGGGATTACTTAACTTTCTGAATCGAGATCGTCATATATTTGTATCGTGTTCGTGCGAAAACTTCATGTTTAAACATTTTAGCAATTTGCTAATGAGGATATTGACCATGGTTCAGTGATGGAATGCCTTCTAAACAACAAGGTTGGCGACGTTGAACCTTTTCTGGTTTTTTTCACCATAGAATTTTCGCTGTTGCTGTGCGGTGGGATTGTACCAATCTACAGTTTCTCGTATAGGACCAACCTGAAATGACATCGAAGTGTCGATCATATGTGAATCATTTCGAATTGGTGTCTTTGCGGGATTACCACTTCTCGTACAAATTCCAGAAAGCTTGTGCTGCTGACATAGACAAGCACTGTCGTGATCATGGAAACGACAAGTTGGTTGAGCATTTTTTCAATCCGTTGGTATCTACCAGTAATAGCTTACTATTTTTCTTTTAACGGTTTATCACCTCATTGTGGTTAGGAGGTGCTCCTAGTTGTTGGGCTGCGGTGTACAGTAGGGAGGATTCACCCCCTTGGCAGGACCTCCTAAGCTGAGATGGAGTCCGTTGTTTCCATTAGGAAGCCCAGCTAAGAGTGAACCCATACTAGGATCTACCACCGTCCTGGTATAAAAGTAGTGGCGTGGTGACAAATTTCCGTGTAATCCACAAGGGCCGGCTATTGCCTGTGGTGGTGACGGCATGGAGCAGACTTTGGGTGGACTGACCTCGGGACTCCAGAGTACCAAAACAGCAGCAAAACTCCGAAACAATAGAAATTATGCTCGGACCCGCACAACCAGTGAAAACGGGCCATCCAAGTATCCAAGTAAGCTTACTATTTTTATGATGTCTGTTGATCTATTGTCGTTTTTAAAAATAAAACTGAGCACAACTTTTTCGTTTTGAGTGGAAACCGTCGAGCTAACTATTACGTTATAACTTAATTATATTTTAATTATATTTTACTTTTACAGCGAGGATTCTAACAGGCTTCGCTCATATGTTATTTTTATTTAATTTTCATAGGTTGGTGTTTTGTTAAGATGATAGTTGCCACCGTATTTTAGGGGTGAGATCATCAGATGTTTGTCAGAAGTGCGATTCGAGCACAAGGTTTTGGGAACGAGTGCCGATTTGTCAGAACCATGCAAACGTCAGCTTAAGGTCGCATATTTGCAACAAGAACAGGTAGAAGTAAGTTGATGTTGTGGGTTGATAATTTTGGTGGGATGATGTCCGTCTGCACTACTCATATTCGATAAAACAGTGAACGTGAAAGACAGGACGTCATCCAAACTCCATATTTTTATTTTATCTTATCGGTTTTTGACTTCTCCCTCTCCTCCACAGAAGGGCCACCAGACTGAGATGTTTAGCATTTCCATTAGGAAGCCAGTTGAAAGTAGACCTCTTTCTGTATCTCTCTGCTGGCCTTCTATTATTTGCCACGTTCTTGCCAAAAGTGATAAAAATGGTTCATATCACGTGAAGTGTGATGACTTCCGTATCTACAGCGTATCCGGAAACCATGGAGTAGCAGATGTATGACTGAGAGCTAATGCTATGTCTCAAGTTATTCGGCGCTTAATGGGCTTGTGTGCGGTACAGGTGGTGCAGAGTTTATCGTGGGGAACCTTAAATTTTTACCTTCTTAGCATGCTTTGGTGGTACCTTACCTGGACCGTTTTAAAAATCTGTGAGTACCTTTGTTATTTAAGTTCTACTTTTTACGTTTTCTCCTTTTTTTGCATTTGCAGTACCTCTAGATTGTAGGTGTTTTAAACTAAATCAGTATTGTAATGGCTCTCAGTTCATATCATATTTAGTTCGATGATAAGGAACACATGGCTGATGCGGATCCTATCCTTTCTGAGAAATGTGCTCGAGAGATTCGTCAGTTCAGTTGCAACCAAGCGGAATCTTTTGAAGACACTGTAGAGTGCCTCAGGGTCAACTTCGATGGATTAGGTAATAAATTTTGCTATGCACCTTCGTAAAAGGGGCGCATGTGGCACAGTGGTCGAAGGTGCTTTGCAATACACACTGGATCGATTCTTGCTCTTCTGGCCCACCAAGCCTTCCATCCGTCCAGCGTCGGCAAATTGGTACCAGACTTGACTGGGGGGATAGCAGCGTTGGCTCGATACATCGGTAGGCCACCGCGAGTCAAAAGGACAGATGTGCATTCAATTACCTTTAAACGCTGCTTAATAAAGTCGAATGCATGCATCCTAAGGGATTTATCAACGCCGAGAGCCTTATGAGCTGTTTGTGTTCTTTCGCGTTATTAGAGGGTTGTATTTTGAATTAGTTAAGAGGCTGTCTTTCATTTTTATCTTTAAAATTGCCTTCAAGGTCCCGAATGTAAATCAATGGTGTTCTATCGTGAAAAAATAGAAGCAATAGATAATTCGATGGATGATGAACTTCAGGTGAGATTTGTCTCGTATACAACTATAAGCACATTACAAATCCTTTTTTTTAGAAAAAGTGCAAACATGACATCCAAAAGTTCTGTCCTGGACAAAATGGCGAGCATGTTTTGGATTGTTTGACGAACACAAAAGTCGTTCGATTACTGCAGCAGGACTGCAAGGCTATTGTGAAGGTGCGTTTAATACAGAGATTCATTGTGCTTAAGTAGACATTTAAAAGTGTTTATTTATTAAAAGCATAGGGATGCTGAGATTTGAGCATCTCAACATCCCTATGATTGTACTTCACATCGTAAGCTACCATATGAGATGGAATGGGCAGAAAATAAAAATTGAAATAGTGCTTATCTAATGTTTAAAATTTATACTTTCGTAGTTATACTTTGGTTGGTGAAATTCAAGGTATCTTTATATATCAAAGTCGTAGGTTGGCCTATTTTAAAATACGTACTTGGATAAACCCGTCGTTCTTTCTTAACAATAGAGGTTTATTTATATGATCTTATAAATTGACCTTCTTCTGTTACGTGCGAGACATCACGACTCTGAGGAAGGCGAAGTCGCCGGAACGTCAGCCATCGATCAATAAATAACATGAAAAACAACGACAACGACAACGAAGATCTGTACCAACCTCGCGTCAGCTTAAGAAGATCAGTTTATAAGATCACATATATAAATATATCAACTATCTATGCCGAGGTTTATAGAAAGTCGGTCTTTCGAATCACGAGGTTGTTAAACAGTATACGTTTACTTCCATACAATAACATACATACAGCTGTAGTCGACGTTTCGACAGAATCGCCTTCTTCGGAGCTTGAAGCGGTACACTAATACGCAACTTACTAGGTGAAACGCTTCAACACCACAGACAAAAAGATGCAAATCTGCACGATAATTACAAGATCCATGGCTTCTCGGAAAAACCCACTGCTTGGAACTTATTTGGCTACTTGCGCGGTCCTTAGTTGTGCGAGCCCCAGCATATTCTCAATTGTTCGGAGTTTTGCTGATGTAACCATTGTTTCCCTGGAGTGCCGAGGTCAGCCTGGCCAAATTCTGCCCCAGGTGTTCACCACCTCATGCAGTCGGCATCATTGTGGATCAGCGGGAGAACTGCGACATCATGCGACCATTTTGATACCAAGACGGTAGTGGATCTTGGTACTGGTTTACTCTTAGCTGAGCTTCGTGATGGAAACGCCAGGCTCCTCAGCTTGAGAGACACTGCAAAGGGAGGGGACTAATAACCCCACCGTACATCACAGCCCGACACCCAAGAGCACCTCCCAGCCCCGTTGAGGCGGTAAGACCTTTGGAGAATTCCTCGGTAGTATAGTGGTTAGTGTCCGTGTCTGTCATTTTAAAATAGCTTGAGTTAATAATTTGTGTTCTTTTATCCATCCACTTATATTTGCCTTAGGTGTGACGAATGTTTTGGAAGAAACTCTGCCAACAAAATCGCTCAGTATAACCACAAATACTAACAGTAAGGTTTTTAGGAACGCATGCGAGAAGCGTCGAGAGACGTGCGTCTACGACCAGCGCTTCTATTGGCATGCAAATCAGAGGCTGAAACATAGTGAGTTTCAAGCAAATTTTTTAAACTGAGTTGTTGGTTCGGCTGATGCTTTAGGATCCTCGGTCTCCTTAGCGAACGTCGTTGAATGTTACTCGTGTCGGTTACTTCTCGATTTTCCAGTAGTTTCTGAATCTGATTCGTTTTTTCATATCTATGTGCCACGAAATTTTTCGCATTCGCGCAAGTGTTCAACCGTTACTTGAGATTTTTGGTCCTCGAAATCCACGCTAGAGATCTCTTGTCTGCATCGTAGGCACGTGTCATCTTTTGTGGGTTGGAGACTGCCAGCTGATCTTAGACGAGTCAAGTAGCAATTTTCCGACCTTTGGAATGAGATGGGAGGGTTGGTGAACCCTGGAGGAGTCGAACCAGTACCTTGCTTGTAATGATCGAGCATCACCGCCACGGGGCTGACCACGCTCTGTTTTAATTTTTTTGTTCAGTTAGCTACCTTAGCTTCAAAGATTTTACCATTATGTTTTTATATCCGGTGCACATTCATATGGCGATATTTCGTCTTTGCATCTGGGTGTTTTCACTTTCTAATAAAAAGTGATTTTTCCTTTTTAAAGTAGTTGGTGACTAGCAGTACTTATTTTGCCAAGAATAAGTGGTAGGACAAAATTGGGCTCTTATCAAAATAATTGCTGGTTTTTTTTTCATCACTAGGAATCTTTAATGCCTCAAATTGAGTTGGAGATGTGGAGCAGCCGTCAAAGATATTATAGCCGTAAGATGAGATGGTTCGCTGTTGTATTACAATAAATTCATTAAGAAGGGTAAAATATGTCAGATGCGCTACAGTTCGTAAACCTTACAGGAAGCTTTTTATGGGTAGCATATGAACTGATATAGAATTAAGTCACTGTATAGGTTAAAATGAAGCCTGTTATCCAATACTGCCCTCTCTTTAGGCCGCGTGTAGCTCAGGGCTCAGAGTCGCCCACGGGAACGACCCCTGCGCCCAAGATCCAGCAGACCTTCCATTCCTCCGGGGTGGGTACATTAGTGCTAGGCTTGTCTGGGAGGATAGCAACACTGAGTTGATACATCAGTAGGCCACTGCGTGTCATTGTAAAGGCCAGATATGCATTTAATCACCTGCAGACGATGCTTAATGAAGTTGGATGCATGGCGCATCCCTCGGGATTGATCAACGTCGAGAGTTTTATCTTGTTATCCTTTTACCTTCTGTTACTGATAGTGGGCTGAGCCTTGGTGTGATTAATTAGACTACGTTATTCAATCAGCATGAGACAATCGACTCATGGGTGCAAGAAAGAATTCGTCGTTGATGATATGAGAATATAAACAATTTTGGGAGCTATCTAACTTTATCATTCGCTGTACACACTGGGTTGAGAAGGATTTTTCTCGTTGTTTTTGAAATCTATGTTGGTGAAAGACCTGAAATTTAGAAAATGAAAAACTTTTCTCGGTTTGTTTTTCACATGGTTACTTTGTTTGTATTTAAGAGTATAAGCTTTTCTTTATAACTGCAGTGTTTTAGTTGCCCTGAGGAGATGAGAAAGATCAAAATGCCACAATATGCGCAAAAGATGCTCTCAGGAGTCGTGGTGAGCTGCCTTCGTGAGAAGTATCGAGAGTCGGCTCATAACCAAATTGAACTTGGAGCACAATGCAAACAAGAGGCAATTTCATGTTTTCTTTCTAAAAATGTTTGCATATTTTTTGCTCTTCTTGGTCGCCTTTAGATCTATAAATCTGTATTCCATGGTTTTCAGATTACGAAAGCAATAGTTGAAGCAGAGTTCGATCCTCGTCTCGATCCACCACTCTTCGATGCATGCCAGGAGATCATCAAATTGCACTGTTCTTCTACAATAATTGAACGTGTTGGTTTACATTGTGTAATACATTTTTCGTACATTATCATAGGCCAGTCAGGTTACAAAAGCCAATCAAAACGGCTTGTCAATTGTATTCATTGAAATTTTTAACCATAACTAGTTGTAATCTCCTTTTATTACAAGCAGTGAAATGTAGCAATGCAGTGTAAGTTTGGTGCAAGTCACTGCTATTTGTCTTACTGATTGGGTTTTGTAACAAGGAGGCATCCCACTGCCATTGTCTAATTCCATTTCTTTTCCTGAATTTTAAGAAATAAGGGATAAAATTGTCGGCAACTGCCACGACCGACTTTCTATTAACCTCGGCATTGATCAAGTGATTTTCTTCGTATTTTTGTTGAGCAAACGCGAGGTGTTACTATTCTTTGTTCACGATTAAGCTGACGTTTCGGCGGATTTCGCCTTCTTCAGAACCGTTTTTTTTTTGTTGAAAGCGGCTCTGAAGAAGGCGAAATCCGCCGAAACGTCAGCTTAATCGTGAACAAAGAATAGTAACACCTCGCGTTTGCTCAACAAAAATACGAAGAAAATTGTCGGCGTTGATCAATCCCTGGGGGATGTGCCATCCATTCGACTTCAGTAAACATCGTTTGGAGATGATTGAATGCATATCCGGTGACTCGCGCTGGCCTACCGATGTATCGATCTAGTGCTACTATCCTCCCAGACAGGTCTGGTACAAATTTGTCGACTCCAGAGGGATGGAGTGATTCTTGATGCTTGATTAGCCTGGGGCTATGGAATCGAACCCATGTGTATTGCAGGGCCCTTCTAACCACTGCGTTACCTGCGCCGTTCTCCTCAATTGTAGGTGATATAAAAAGATTATTTGTCTTCTTAAGCAGTATGACTCCATTCCGCCGATTTCAGAGCGGAAAATTTGAAACCGTTCTCGAATGTCTCAAAGCAGATTATTACAAAGGTGCAATATTGGATAAACGATGTGGCAAGGAGGTTAGTATTAGTTATGTTTACACTTAGTTTATTCGAAAAATGCAAATATTTAATGTTTAGCTTTAAATCCATTTATCGCTAACTAAAACAGATTGCAATGATCTAGAAGTAAAATTCACTCATCAAAAACTTCTTGTTTGATGAAAAAATTTGAAACCTCCTTGATCGTTATGTACGAAATATAGAGGTGGTGGAAGTAAATGGAACATTTTCAGCAAAGGATCCTTTGCTCCTTTGCTAAGCTGTTTTTGTTTAGGTAATTAGGTGGATGTCTGAAGAAATATGGTGAAATCTTTGCAAAAATTCCTTATCTTCTTGGTGAGCAAACACGATGTGTTATTTTATTTCTTTATTCACGACTAAGCTGACGTTTCGGTAGATTTCGCTTTCCTCAGAGTTTGGAAGGGTCAAGTTGACCGCAATCTACCCAACCAAACACCTCCATAACCGTAGTTGCAGGAAGTCTGTTAGGTGTATTGTAAAGAAATTTTATTAAACATGCTCTAGTTCAACTTTTATGGACCTCGTACCTTTTACACTACTCTCAAGCGTCATGCTTTTATTAGGTTTTAGAAGGCTGTAGTGTACTGTTCTGATAACGGACAAATAAACTGTGATCATGTTTTTTTCATAGGTTTTTGGAAATGTCATCATTGCCTGTCATTGCATCTCATATGTTAATCCTAATGAGGGTCGTTATGGCTACATAGTTTAGCGCTATGGTGTTGAAGACACACTTCAACGCTGGTTTCTTTAGGTTGAATTTAATTATGTGAAACATCAACTCTGCTGCTTTACCATCATAGGGTATTTTGATTCTAGTAATGAACTAGATTGGCTAACCGCTAAATGCAATAGCTTTTCGGACCATGGTTTGTATAGTTAACTATTATGCCAGTAGTAAAAGGCGACATTTTTATCGCCAGATTGAGATTTCTGGTACAAAATGTTCTGCAATCACAATGCCACCATTTCTTATTTACTGCCTAGTCTTTTTTCATGTCAGGGTAAGACGTGAACTACTGTGGTGCTGAGTTTTTTTGCAAAATTTCGGACTGCTGGTGACTGCGGTGGTGATCGAGCCTCGTTATTACCCTTTCCGAGGGCTAACATGTTCACCACCACACCGTGCATATCCTTCGTTTCGGCTTTCTCTCTCTCTCAGCCGTGTTTTATGCGCCTCATCAGCACTCAGTCGTCAACGGGATTGATCTGGGGAGCACAAATCCGTATTGAACCCAGTTGAGCAGAAGCAGACACTTCCGGTCTGGTGTTTTGCAAATATCTTAGTATCATTGTAGTTGTGCAATCAGTTAAGATGCTGTACATGTAATATTATTCTACTGTTAGGACGATGTTATGCGTGCCTTTTTCCCATAGCTCTGTCTAGTTTGAGCCATTGGAAGTAAATACAAGGAGTTAATGAGGCTGAGGTCGCTTTGATTGTCATTCCATTTAGTGGCTTACACTTAAGTAGGAAAGATTTGATTGTTCCAGAAGTAGTTGCAGAAGCTTTTAGAATAATCGTCCGATATTTATCATCTTGAACAGCTTTAATTTTCGTGTAGGTCAAATGGACATAGCGAAGTGATTGTCTGTTACGTGTCATAGTTACGCAGTTGCTTACGTTCTTAGGAGTTCCACATTTTCAGTATTATATCATTTATTCTTAATGCCTAATGGAAATTTGGAACCCAGTGTAGAGGACCTCCTTGAGGATGAACTCCTTGGTTGCCTATTGCCGTCCTTGACTTAGGAACACTGGTAGTCGTGGTGAGAGGGTGAACCCTAAGGAGAAGGTGGTAGTTGTATTTCATGAAAAAGAAATCGATCTCACCTGGAAATGTAGTTTGAAGCTGAAAATTACTGTCTGCAGTGCTTAATTGATTACTCATGCCTTTTTTAATTGATATTTCTAATGTCACTTATATTTAATCACTTAGACTATTTATTAAACTGTTTCGGAACTGGATATGCTTGTCTTCAACTCAACGATTTATTTCGAATTTTTTAGAACTAACACGAAGCAAGAGTCTTAAATGCTGAAGAACGGTTCAAAATCTAATGTTTTAATCACAATGGTGCTGAGATATTTGCAAAACTCCAGACCCCAGGTGTCTGCGGTGGGAAACTAACGCGCTATTACCCTTTCCGAAGGTTAACGCGTTCAGCACCATCGGGCCCTTCGTTTTACTAGTCTTTAAGCTAAAGATCTAATGTGTTTTTTCGTGTCCAGTTATGTTGAGAACGGTTTTGTTTAGAACACTCACATTTGAGTAAAGTAGTTTAGCTGGCTCGTCGTATCGAGGAGACAATGGTCGATATTCACCTCGATCCCGCACTTCATGAAGCGTGCTCTGTAGATGTGAAGCGATTCTGCTCGGATGTGGTGCCAGGTCATAGTCGAGGTTGTGAACTTTCATCTTTGTCCATAATTCTTTGAAACCTAACAAAAAAGTAATTCAGAAAAAGGAAAATATTTCACTGGAGGTTTCGTGCATTGGTGGCGCTGGTATAGACCACCTTCTTCACATGAAGAAACCTAGAATCTTTTCTTTTGGCGTTAAATAAGTGGCACATCTTAGGGGTACAGCTATTGGCTTCGCATGCTAAGGATGTTGACTTTAACTTCATATATTTTAGACTACTTTAAATGAAATTACAATAGATTGCAAAAACGATTTTGTTGAACAATTTGTCAGGTGGAGAATTTCAATCTCGGTTCGTCCAAAGATAGGATCTTATTACTTTGTTCTTTAGTTTTTGTTTGATCTATTCATGGATTTTAGTAATTATGTGTCTAATGGATGCGGTTGACAGCTCTAAAGACGAAATGACACCTGATTGTCGAAATAAGCTCATAGATCGGAATAAATTGTGGATGAAAGCCCATGTAGTAAGTGTTTGACCTTTTTTAGCAGTACTTTCGCTTTTGTCATTTAATTAGGTTTTGTTGCGTATTCATATTCTGTGTCCATCAAAGAATTGTTTCCTCATAGATTCTTTGCTGCACTTCATTGTTAAATTTGATAGTCGTAACCTTGCATGAAATGCATGGAACTCTGTTTAGCTCAAACTTATTTCATATTTTATGGAAATATCTTAGGATTTTCAAATGACGCTGCCACAAAATTGGGCTGAGCTGTACTTCACCGTGGCAAACCATCCGAATAAGGTAGTTGTTACTGATCTAAAGTCAAACTAATGCAACATTTTTCCTTTTTTCATTTTTAAATTTTCTTCAACAAGGCTTTATTTTATTCTACAATGTAATCAGCTCGTGGATGAAACAACTAAGTGTAACGGCTGTTGCTGTAAGTTGAAGAAATGTCGAAATTTAGATTTGAGTTCATCGAAGCAGCAACGTTTTTGCTCTGTAGGGAATTTTTCGGAGTATGGAAATGATGGAAACGAGGCAGTATATAATGCAATATCCAGCGCTCTCTATGTTAGGCTTTTAACCACCTTACCGTCAGAAGCTGTTGATGTACTGTCATAGCCGTATGCGTTCGATTGTTGAAACAAGAGAACCGTATTTAAGAACGCATCAAGACTTTTCCCACGGCCAGTTACCCGTTGTCTGCTCGATTTCTTTCTCACGCCACTTAGACTACAGCGTACCAAGCCAGTTTCCTCAACAACATGAAGCATGGAGCCATTTGGAGCCACTTTGAGTTAGTACCAGTTCTCCCTCATGGCGGCCAAAATGGGCGACACGTGTCAACATGGTAAATCACCCATCTTTCACCTTCCCACGAATAGGTGTTCTGTCTTATATAGGCGTATAGCAGTGACTAGTAACCACACATCCGGGCACCTCGGTTAATATCTCTGAAATGATGTCGATTCAACGAGACCATTGTTCTACTGTAGCCGAATGCTTGGAGAATTGGTGACAGCGGAGTATCTCTGCCAGTTCTTGCACAGCTTCTCACAGACTCCACTTCAGCTTCCGTTGAAGCTCGTTATTGTTGACGCCATTGTTGCTGAGTACCATACGTGACTTGCACTGGTTTTAGAGCTCAGGTCACTGACAACAAAGCGTATTAAACAGCAACAGACAATGGACTCGTATGGGTTACCTTTGCCTAACATGTTATTAATGTTGGCGGCACCAAGAAGCAAGTCACAGCGGAGAAACCATTTTTAGTAGACGATAAGTTACTTACTTACCTGATACTTAAACGGCCCGTTCTCACTAGTTGTATGGGCTCCAGCATAATCACCATTTATCGGAGGTTTGCTGGTTAAGCCATTGTGGTTCTCTGGAATCCCGAGGACAGCCTGGCCAAAGTCTGCCCCAGGTCGTCACCACGATAGGCAGCTGCAGCCCTTGTCGATCAGAGGGAAATTTACCACCATGCGACATTGATACCAGGACGGTGGTGGATCCCGGTATTGGTTTACTCTTAGCTATGCTTCCTGATGGAAACGTCGGACTCCTTCTCAGCTTGGGGGGGACGAATCCTCCCACTGTACATCGCAGCCCGACATCCAGGAACACCTCTTAGCCGCGATGAAGCGGTAAACCGTTGGGAGGAGACGATAAGTTAAATTGGATATATGACCACTTCTCTAGTGCTTTTGTTTGAAAGGTCGTAACTTTTTACTCTCATTAAGAAGAGCCTTGTAGAATGTTTTACAACGTGCTCGAATACACGTTAGTTATATAGACGACCGGTCGCTTTATGTCATAGATCTAATATTCCTTCTGTTTGTCTTGATATTGGGCTACGAACTCAGTACAGAACCTGTTCAGGATGTATCGCCTTCACTTTTCATCTACATGTTAGATTCTGGTTGGGTTTTGTTTTTTTTTCTGGAGCCCTGAGGTAACCGTGATAAGGCATTCTTCATTACAGGCAGTCCCGACTTTCTGTGGATTAGGAAGGAGCTGGGTTTTGTGATTAGAGTTCTTGCAAAACTTGCCACTAGTTAATCGCCAGGTCTATGAAATTGTAAGAAACTGAGTCCCATTCACGAAAATAGAGCGCTTAATAGCGATTTACAATAACGAAGCATGTTTACCAACATATTTCATTAGTTTCCTCAGCTGTTTTATTTGGAATGTTATGTGGTACTAATTGATGCTCTGTCTTTTTCATTCTCAGGTTTCAATTCTCGGATGGTTCGCTGGAATTGTGTTCTTCATCTTATTGATAGGATGCTGCTGTGGTCGAGCGTCAAAACGTGCTTACAGAGAATTGAAAAACAAATAATCAACTGTGTTTAATGTTTGTTTCGCCTGTTATTTTCATATCTTTTTCCTTCCGTCTTTTTTCTCCTGAATCAGAAATTTAAGTGAGTAATTATTTTTAGGCTTGAGAATTTTCGTAGCATTTGCCTTCCTCGTAACGTATCTGTTCCAATTGCGTTGTTTGGTCCTCTGGTTAAGACGATGTTTTTTGTAGACTTTTCTTATCTGGTTTTCGATACGGCTGCTCTTTCTTCGTGTAAGTACCAGTCAATTGTGAATTAGAGCATAATGTGTGATACAAATCGAGGGTTCGTGAAATTTCAGCAGTGAATTCAACATATATCCCCGAAAACTTGTCCTTGTATTGAAGCCTCTTCGATGTTCACTCGTCGTTATGGTTTTCCTCCTGTATCATTCCATTTCAGCGGTAGGTAATGTTGATTTTCCTTTAACTTCATTAGCACACTGCTGTCACTCACTTTCAGTAAGTTACGATAGGTCATTGTCACTTATTGGCTTTCCTTCGACCATCGCCGCGTCTTAGAATATTGTTTGTACCCTTTTTCGTTTATTTATCACGACTGAACCGATGATTACGGTGACCATGAGGTTGTGAGATATATGGGGTGGTTGGTACTTGCAACAGTATTCACTGTTGACCTCTTATAAATTGCTACTTGACATTGGTCTCTGTGTTCAATGTATTGCGAATTCTTATGCTTTGTCAGCAGTTGCTTTTCGTAATAAGATTGAGTAAGAGGAGTCATATTTGCTAATAATCAAGGTTGTTACTTCTTTCTGTGATCCAGTTAAATAAATGGTTATTTCCGAAACTGCTAACCTAGAATGATCATGAACAGCTAAGAATGGAATGTGGTGGAAGTACTCACCTCCTTACTCCATTTGTATCCTCTTATGTATCATATTGCGAAACGACGGAACTGGAGATTAAGTACGGATAACTTGGCCATTAATCACCGGCGAAAGTGCTTTGCATTGCTAATAGCGTTGAATTTCGCTAGTCGAGAGAGTTTGTGCTTAAAGTGGATCGCAGTGGATATCGTTGAAAGAAGAAGAAAAGCGTCGAGGTAGGATATCCGTAAGATCTTCCTTTGAAGGCCGAGAATGACAGTAGAGTATACGTCAGAGACAGTATTACTCGTCATCCCGTTGATCGTCGAGTAACTCAAGGAGACGTCGGTAAATCTTCCATTGCTTCCAGTCATACGCAAGAGTAGCTGAGTGGCGCGTGCTCACTCTAGGGTCTCATTGAGCATCATATCTTTGCTCCAGGGTTTTCGCGAACAACACTGACCATTAGCTCAGTGGTCTTCCTGTAGTACGTCTAGCATCCGAAGGGGTCCAGTCACTAAAGGTTCCTGTCCATCGGTTCTTGTTCATATGCATTACTTGTCCGGCCCACTTTCGACAGTTTAGCGTATAGAACGGCATCTTTGATTTCTTATCGTTGACGCAGGTCGGAGCTTTGGATTACTTCCCTTACTTGTGTGACATGGGATACTCATAGCATCGCCCTTTCGACTTCCTGTTCAATAACGTCGAGTGATCTTTCATCCTGCTTACACAGCGACCAGGTTTCTGACGCATACGTCAGGGCAGGAATTATCGTAGAGTTGAAAAGATAGGTTCATAGGCGGGTGTCCCTTGTTCTGTTCACAACATCCCGGATGCTCTTGGAAGCTCCGCTAACCACTGGCCTTATCCTCTTGTCGTCAGCAAACCGAAGATGGCGTAATTGCCAACCACAGATTTTCATGTGCCACTGCAGTGTTCGTATGACGTTCTTGAGGGTGGCGGTACAGTTTCGTCTTCCCAACCCCTCTTTTGACGTCGACATATTGTTATAAAATAGCGATGCTTTTATTCTCAAATTTTTATATAGCTCATGAAGAATCCTTATATATTGGGTAGAGACGCTATGACTATGCAGGGCTTTCATAACTACTTTTATCTCAACTGAGTGAGAAGGTTTTTTTTCAAATGAGTGAAAATGAGACAGAGGGGTATTTGCCATTCTTGCGGGACTTCAGTATGTCTTGTTATCGTGTGGATGTGGTCCGCTGGGCTGAATTCTTTTCGAAACCGACTTGCTCACATGGTTGTTCTTCGTCTACTGTTTTGTCTATCTCTTTTAGGATGACTAGAGTGAAAAGTTTGTAGAGTACATACAGTAAGCGGATTAGGAGATAGTGGCCGATATCGTGGTCACCTTTTCTGAACAACATCTCGATCTTTCTGGTCTTTCACTGAGTAGGAACCTTGCATTCAGATAGGTAACATGTGTAGAGCCGACTCAATGTGTTTACGAGGACTGGCGGAATGTTCTTAAGGTGTTCGGATTTTATCCTGTCTAGACCTGGTGCTGTTCGATTTTTCACCGACGAAATAGCATGTCGGATTTCGGATAGGAGAACGGGTGGTACGGCATATCCATCCTCTTTTATTTCATATAAGTGAAGGAGGGCGTGGCTACTGAAGAGATCTGAGCAGTATTCGTGAATGATTTTCTCCATTGCCTTTCTGGACGCTGTAACTGTTCTGTCTGGGTGTCGGAGTGCAGTCATCCCGGTCTTGTAATTGGTGAAGCATCGGTGGGCTTTGCGAATGTTTTTCCCAACGTCTGCAGTTTCGACCATTACTTCTGCTCTTCTCTCTTTAACGTCTTCTTTTATCGTCTGTCTGCATTGTTTTGCAAGTTCGGACGTTAGTTCGCTGTTGCCTGCTGCTCGCGAGATTCCACGTTGGCGTATCAGCTTGATTGTCTCCTGGTGACTTTCTTACTTTCAGCTTTGATAGCGCAAATGTGAAGATGTTGAATAAAACCGTAGTTCTTTCTACTTCTGTTCAGCAAACACGAGGTGTTACTTTGTTTCTTTAATTGCGTACTAGCTGAGGTTTCGGCGGATTTCGCCTTCTTCAGAGCCTGGAAAAGTCAAGTTAACTACAATCTACACGGCCAAACACCTCCATAACCAAACAGAGAAAATGCTGGACCAAAATTTTGAATTAAAATGAATTTAGAACCGTAGTGTTCGTTGGCGATGTTCTCAATAACGGCATCTTCCTAAGAGTCGACTAATGGTCTAAATAAATCCCAATGTTAGTGGTTTTCGGACTTCGTTTTTGAACTTCGGAGCTTTTTCTCCCTTCTCCCAGCAATGAAATCTTGCACGAAGAGGCTATGTTTTGATCCCGTGTAGAATTGGGAGACAACAGCGACAATGGTTAGGCAAAACCTCTGATTTACGATGATATGGTCTATTTCCTTGTGGCACTCTCCATTGGGAGACTCCCACGTCCAGCGTTGAGAGTGGAGCTTCTGGAATTACGAGTTACCTTGAATGGTCTTGGACGTCATGTTAAACTCAGACAACCGCTCACTCTGCTCGTTCCATTCTAATCCATGTGTCCCAGTGTGATGTCTCTCCGTAGAACCTCCTCAAGTTCATGTAGAACGCTTCGACTTCTTCTTCGTCGTAGCTTGATGTCGGTACCTAGACGACAAAGATTGCCAAAGCCGGTATTGATCCACATTTCTTCAGTTGTAAACACCCGATTTGGGTTGTTAGTTATTCAAATGAATGGACGTTCATGGCCGAACTTGTGTTGACTAGAACACCGACTCCGCTGACTCCTCTATTGTCGTATGCTACGAGGAAGTGTTCTTTTTTCGGTGTCAAAGACGGCACCGAATCGGTGGCGTCTTCTCGTCTCGGCCAGTCCGATGACGTCGTACATCCTCCTTCTTGTTCACATAATCAAGTCCATGACTCAGGTGCAAGTGAGCATCCATTGTAGGTCCAATCGTCTTAGTTCTCTACGATTTAGGCAGCTTAGAATGGCCCTGAGATTTTACTGACCTGTCTGTACTCGTCCTCCCATCTCTGCCGTATCGGGGGCTCTTTTGGGGAATGTTGCCTGTTTATTTTACTGTGTTCGGTATTCGATATAGCTTCGTGAGTTCTGAAGGTGGGGGTTAGGTATAACCAACGGTAGCTTGCCAGTCTGTTCCAGAGCATACGAGGAGCTTATTTGTAGGAAGCGACTCTTCATCGTCTTTAACATATTTCCTTGCTACCTACTTGATTGTAGGCTTTTACCCGAACTGACTCATAGAACACAATGCATGCATGAGTACGTAGTCGTAAACTCAGAAGGTATGTGCAAAATCGACGCAACAGAACCAGCGAGTTTATGTCCTGGATCCACTGAATCCTCTAGCATCTCAGAGAAGCAAATGCCGCTTTTGGTCCGCGATTACTACCTATCCACCACCTGTGGGCGCGCACGTATCGTCGCGACTGAATGGGATAAGATTTCTCTGAGAAGGAGATCCACAGACCAGAGAAGGTACAAGAAGAAATGATGTGCTGTACACAAAACCTTATTTAATGTAATGGCTATTCTTGTTTTTAAGACGAATTATAACACTGTGCTAAAAACAGTTATCAAACTCTCTGCTCCGTAAGTTATCACTTTCATCATTTTTTTATTCAACAGTATCTGTCGGATTGTGATCTATAGGCGATACTGTGTAGTATGCACTTTGCGAAGAACGTTAAGAAGACAGTAGAACCCATTAGAGTTCATACTAACTTTGTAACTTCACATGTGTTTTGAATAAAAAGCCTTTGTTGCGAAGGATTGCTCTGGTCTTCCTGCTGGTTTAAGTCCCTCGAATACTTGTTTTCAAAGCTTTGATAACGAATCCAATCCGATCGAAAGCTTCTTACTCTTATCTGGTTTATGTGCACCTTTTTCTTCATGTTCTTGTTGTGTTTCTTTCGGACAAATATTGGCAAACATTGATTAGCCTACGTTCTTTTTTAAATTAGTAAGTCAATGAACTTTTGTCATCTCCTAATTTTGACGTTCCACAACGATATAGTGGTTTTTCGACTTCTATATCGGTTCTTCTTCTCTTCCACACACTAATGTCTTTATTTTTATTTAAATAAGGTTCTCTTCTTGTACAATAAACATTCTTAACGAAAACATTTG